GAGGGAGTGTCAGACTCTTACTGACTAAAAACCACCCCGTTCCTTCTCCTGCACGTCGAGCCGGAGCCCCGGTTACCCGTTAGGTTCTCCGCGAACGTATTATCAAAATTGTTTTATACCTAGTTTAATCAACACGCATGCCGAACCGTGCTGCTAATTAAATATTGTATTAATACAATTTGATTCGCCGATAGTGCTCAAATTCCTTTTTTTTTCTGAAAAAAACTTTGCCCTGCATTACGATTTTCTCCTCCGTTGTAGGTGCGTTTACAAACATACAAGTTCACATACACAATGACACCCAGACCCGAAACAACAATTTGTGGATCACACAAAGTGTTCCGTGCGGGAGTCGAACCCGCGACACGTTGCATGGCAGCGGGTTGCCCAGCCACCGCACCAACAGTGCAGTCGATATTTATAGGTGGATACTGGATATTTGTAGCAAGTAGGTCAACTGACCACAATCCTGAGCAAACAAGTTCATACATCGATACAATAACATGTTTGTACATATTGCGTTTCCTGGTCTGTCCGCGCAGGTCCCTCTATGTTTCCTGTGGTTTCTAATATTTACAAAACCATTAAAGTGCTCGTTGTCCTCCACAGGCCTCTTCAAATTATACAACCGAATCAAAGTCAGGCGAGTCATCCGATAATAACGAAGAAGAAGTAGCAGGAGCAGAAGCAGCAGGAGCAGATGCAGAAGAAGAAGCAGAAGAGGAGCAGATGGAGGAACATGAACAGGTAATAATAAAAGAGGAGCCGAGCACTTCGGACATATACGACGTGCCCGTGGCACAAGTGCAGGCACCACCCTCGCCACCCTCGCCGCCCTCACCGCCTTCGCCACCCGTGCAGCCCGCGCAACCGAGGAGACTAGGCCGACCCAGATCGTACATGAGGAGCAAACTGACACAGTCCATGAAACGAAAGCTACCGAGGGACCACGACTCCCTCGACGGCAAGCTCCTAGAGACTCTGAAGTTGTTGAAGAAGTCAGAACTGTCGCGGAAGAAAGACGAGTGCGACAGCTTCGGAGAGTACATAGCGATGTCGCTGAGGAAGCACGACGAGCGCACACAGAGCATGATCAAGCAAGCCATCAACAACATACTGTTCGAGCAGGAGATGAGGTTGTACAGCGCGGGACAGTACACCGTGGTGCTCACCGGCACTGAGGAGAACCCACTCGTCTTTGAGGCCAAATGAACACTTGTGGTATCTGTACTGTGTCTGTGTGTAGCAGCCGATGTGGCACAAAGTCTGATCGAATAGCTAATTCTTGGTTACCTGTGCCGTGACACTAAGTATATGCGTATTGTGTATTATAGACTGATTACAAAACTTATATATTTGTAAGAAAGGTTTCTTTGTAATGTAAGTATAAAATGGATGTAGATTGAAATTGTTACTCTCAGCAAGTTAATTTTATTAGCTTCTCTATTACACAACAAACATTGGAATTTATTCTGTTTTTTATCATTCCTCGTAAACTTGATGCGACTTTCTAGTTCATGTTTTGAAGTATTCATTTGGTACTTGCTTTCTTTGAGAATACGAAGGAAGTCGTGTAACATAGAGAGTTTTGTAAACAGTGCATAATGCGTAGTCGTATCTACTGAAATTGTTTACTTGGGAATGGGTAATACACGTACCATTTGAAAAATTTAATTTAAATTAGGTATTTGCTATACTACAAAGTTAACAGGAAAACACCACAGTTCTCCGAACTGCACCTAATTATTAGTGATGAATAAAAGAAGTCTACACTAGCACATTATACATGTATCGTCAACTACATTGCAACAAGTACGTTGTGCTCACTTTACGTGCTTCCATTAGTTTTTACATCTATCAATCAATTATTTAGAGCAGCCCGAGTACGTGGCTGCTCACACGCAGACACTCTCCTACTGGTGTCACTCACCATTGCTGCCTCACCACTCTCTCCGGCCCGCGCCTTCCTTCTGAGTCTGCAATGCACATCAAACTAATCTATTTTACTTCAATGGGGATTCTGTTTGTTTTAACTCCAGCAGTAGTGTTCGTGAGTATCTTATTGTAGCGTGTACATCGCTGGCTGTGGACTGCAGGTGACTTGGTTACGGTGAAGTTGCCATGCATCGGATGCTGAACATGTAGTTTCAGTTTCGACAAGAGCAACAGCTTGGTAAGGTGCATCACGCCACCTACGTCACGTAGCGTGTGTATGTGTGTGTATTTCGCGTGCAATCTAGCAATGCATTTGCATTTAATTGGCTTCGGTTACAAGAAATTGTTGCCCACAGCGAGCTGGTGCTAGTTGAATCATTCTTCAATTCAATCGCTCCAACGTTTCTCATTATTGTAGTTAATGTGTGTAATTGGATGTTGCCAGTGTTGCCAGCGTCTACAGTTGTCCGTGAATGACGAATGTGTTGTGTCGGCGCGCGGCGGGTCGCGAGTCGCGACACTTCAATATGTATGAGACGTTCTTGTTATTCACTACAGACTCTAAAGTTGACTAGGTTTGGAGGCACATACCTACCTATGTACCACGTGTTACATATCATTATCATACATCACATAATGTAGGTATACATTTCGCTCATACATATAATATCATTGTTGTGTTCAATGAAACAAAAATATCACTTCGTTTGCTTACTTATATAAAGTGTTAACAATAAGGTTTGACCCCGGCCGTTCTGTTTGACCCCGGTATAATTCAGTTCGGTGAGTCACGCGAATGCTTGAAACAAAGCTGAATGTGAATGAGTTCACGTATTTCATGATTCTAGCATAAATTATACGAAAGTAAATTGTTTGCGCGGAGCTAATAAATATATTACGTATCGTTGCCAAGTGGGTGTGGCAGTGGCTTATCATCCCGCGCATGCGTACTGCTGTGGGCAATGGACTCGCCCGCTAGTTGCCAGGCACATGATGTTCCACCGAGGACCTACTACTTGTAGCTAGGTAGCTAGGTACAGGTACACGAGTACGCCAAGCCTGTAGGTATGTAAGGATCTTGTGTCTGCAATATATATCTAATCATTCTATCACAAAGGCAGTGAAAATATGTTAATGCTGGTAGCCGTAGTCACCCACCTGCCGCATTACAAACAATAAGGCAGGTCTAAACAACATACTTAAGCTATGACACTATGAGAAAAGGTTAACAAATAAAATGTATTCCTTCCAAGTGTGAGTTGAACCAAATCCACTGTTCAGCAGCACTAAGTGTATGATTAACTTGAACTTTCGTTACCAACATTCACTTCCTTCACAGAGTATGTATGAACTGGCAGCCATGTTGCATCACCCGCCGTTGCTCGAACACATACTATCGTGAAATTGCATCAGTCAATGAATTAATTCGCATTTAATTTTCCTCAATGGAACTTTTATATGAGGAAATAGAAAACTGTTGCTTTAGGAAATACTTACGTACAAATAAACATTTTACTGAATCCGGTGTAGTGCTGTATCTACTGAGGCAATATCTATCTACTGGAAATGTGGTATGGACTTTTATTGAAAAGTAATTTATAAAGTACCGAATAGTTTTGCAAGTAAGCTTAGTGGGGGAAGGACAGCAATACCATATTAACGTGAATCATAAAATAAAATGACCCGTCATCTGTGACGATAACCTTCTCCGCATCGTCTTCAGAACTCCACTCTCTTGCACTAGTAGTTTGATAAAAAAATGTTCAAATGATACTCGACGTCACTCATCGAGTAGTGACTAGAGGTTGAGGTCAAATTGCAAGAGTGGCATGCGATCACAACACTGAAACATTGCCTAATAAATAGTCACTAAATCATATCATCTATTAATATCTATCAGGTCGAGAAACATGTTCTCGCCACATGTTCAGGCTAGCAACGGACAACCGTACATACAGTCATTAAGTCAATGAAGTGGAATTATTATAATTGCGTGTAATTTAAGATACCTACACTGTAACATCGGACTGACATCAAATAAAAATCTTCCATTCATTGCGGAGTAATTACTTCGTCCTCCAGTATTTCGTACACACACACACACACACACACACACACAGCTGGACATGTGCATTAGAAACATGTTTGCTGCCATCCCACACCCGCCTCACCAGACACATTGTCGCCTGTAGCTAAATATACACCTTACGTAAGTTTCAGCGCTACACATATCAATACATTCACGTACGTCCTCTCTCACTGAACGACACTCAACCTTGTGGCGTCAGTCATAATGGTGTTTTTCCCATATAGGTATCATGCTATCAGATAAAGTACGACCTCGAGTTATCGAAGCCAGACGTCAACGCCTTTGTTTTTGTTATTCGTTTATATCAGGATAAAGATAGTCTTAGGTAATGGATAATCTGTGATAAGATGGCTGAAGGGTGACAAACAGCTGGCGATAACAACACCAGGATACAATGACATGCTGTATAGTTGCAGGTACTACCGACCTGTCCTTCAATGGTTTCTGAAGAGTCACCACAACCAAATCGCACCATTCGGTAAAGTGGAACATTTCGTATTCTGCACATAACGTAGATGGTCGTGATTGTTGTAATGAATATCAATAACAAAGCTACAGTGTCGCCACGACTATCACTTTGTTTATGTATAAACAATATGATTGTAATAGCGCTTTATATTATGCTATTCGTGCTCACCGCCCACAAGACCGGAGTCTACTCTCGGGGTACCAGGCTCGCATAATTGCAATCGGATTTAATTCTAGCGATGTCAGCAGTATCCGAAGCCCTACGAGCACTGTGGATGTAAAAACTACAATTTGCTTAAGTCCGTAGTGGTTACGCAAAATTATATTACCATCGATTTAAACCGCGCTCGGTGCTTTACTAATCTTTTAAGCTCCTTAGTTACACCAGAGATTGTGTCATTGTTATAAAAGTAGTTGGGTAAAGCCATTCTGGGTACTGACGACATCATGGGCTGAAGCGGTGATAGCTCCTGAGCACTGTTAATTACAGTGCTGAAGGTGAGTGGACTAATTACTGGCTGATGACAGACAACGACTGATTACCACAACTTATAGATAAACTCCAGACGTTTCCATCAGTAATTGAAATCTATTGAACAAGGTAACCAGACCAGACCACTTATAAACTTATAATAAAACATCATATCTGCCGTGCGGTAAGTGGTAAAGTGTGTAATTAGCAAATAGGTAATTATAGCGATCTTGATGTGTATGAAGTATGTCTGCGCTGTGAGTGGCCGGTACTTGGCAGCACTCGTGCGGGCAGGCCGGCGGACGGTGGACGTCATCTACTGTCAACTGTCCTAATGCTCAACTTGCCCACCGTTAAATATAGACGGAGACATTATGGCTACAAACATCAATTATTTGTTTACAAGACAGAAAGATTGCTGACATACATAACGGTATGACATCTAAGAAAATAACTTCAGTAAGCGGGGACTTCCGTTAGGAATCATTTACACACATCAATTAGTGGTTTTCTAGACAACAACCATAATATATTTCCGTATATAACTACCAGACTACAGATAGTTCGAGGAGGTTACTATTTATGTTTACAAGACGTTGTTTTGATAAAGCACATGTTTGTGGATAAATTGTTATGATCTTACGTTATCTATGTGAACTATAAGAATGACTATAACTTGTAGATAATTCCCGAATGTTCTAGAAACATGTCCAACTGTCCATATCTAATCTGTGCACTGACATCTCAACGTTCGCGGTACAACTAGAGAAAGGTTAAAAAGATGTGAAACTGAAGTAAACAACATGTTTCCCGTTGATATTTTTGTGCGGAGGTCGAGCTAACGTCACGTACACCCCACCACGATAAATTATAACACACGTCCTCTTTTTTTCACACAACTTTCAGCTTTATTACTTTTGGAATAGGATAGATAAAAGCAAGAAGTTTCCTCAGAATTGTGGCAGTAGGCGAGGGGTCATTGGAACAGTTTAGATGGTAAAAAGTAATTACTGGCGTGGAACTTTGATTTTGTGTTTGTGTTTACGCAGACTGCTGGCGAGGACTTCCTGACATACGCTGGTACACGTCGGTACTTGAGGCGAATGTTTGCAGATAAAGGAAAGTATTTGCGGCAGTACTTCAGGCCAGTGAGTGGCAGTGACACATGTTGCATACTCCGTACGAGTGGGTAAGCTCAGCCGCAGCCGCAGCCGTACTTCACCACACGTGGTGACACTTGACTTGCGTCATTAAAGTCTGTCATCTTGAGAACAAGCCAACGTCTCATACTGTATGAAAAAATAAAGAGCTTCATTTACAATATATTATGTTCAGAGTATTTCAATTATAATGATGTACTAAATGTGCCCAAATGCGATAAAAATCGTTATTGAGCTCTTATCCTCATTAATGAGTCGCAGTTGGCCAGATGTTACTGTGTGTCTTAATTAATCAATGTTGCTAAATGCTTTGTGAAACTTATTAACTGCAGGTCCTTGACACCGCCGGGTCGTTTCAACAAAAACTGATAAACATTTGATTCTCACTAAAGCAGTAACTCTGTCTACTGATATTACTAATTCTGCCGATTTTGAAATTAGACCTGAATACTAACACACCATGGAAAAATTACACGTAAACGGTAGGTGATAAGGTATTTAATTGCTTGGTGATTCTCCTAGAAACGATCAACTAACGTGATTTGTGCCCGTTTTCACCAACCTCCACTAAAGTTTAACTCGTCGAGTACCGGTTTTGCAGACACAATTATAGAACAATAGGTTGCGGTCACCGGTGACCGCTTGGTATTTGACAGTTTAAGGAACCCCTAAGGTAAGACAGGTGACAATTAAAGACATTTTGAGTTTCATCAATCAATACATACCTAACAGTACAAGTAAGGAGTTAGTTTAGAAAATGCTACGTCACGCTAAGTAACTTTAAGAGATGGTTTAGGGACCGGTTGACCATCAATATTTACGATTCCCTAAGTACATTATCTACATAGGAAATGTAAGAAAGAATAAGTTTAAGTATTTCATACAATGACACATTACGTCAGACGCCTCAGAAAGATCCGTGAAAAGAAAACATCGATAAGGGGATCAAACAGATAAGTTATGTCATGTAGGTACCAGCTGTGGACGTTTCTATCATATTTATTATTAGGAAGACATGTCACTGTGTGTACATATGTACTTAGTAATATGTATAAGGAAGAAAATTGCTTGTGTAACAGTTCCCAGAAAACTGTTGAAGATATTGACGTTGAGTGATACTGGCGGATATGAAAAATAATCTAGAAAATTGATTTAAAACCTACATCTGTTAAGTAGTAAAAGGATTCTATAGACAGAATCAAAAATATTTCTACGAAACCCCGAAGAAGTGTAAAGTAGATTTCTTTGTTTCATCTCAACCAATTCTCATAACTCTTGCGAGTAGTGTTGAAGTTTCCTACTTAAATCTTAATATTTTTTCCTCAACTACAAGTTTCAGTTTGATAGAGTTCAAGGAATCGCCTGCAGTTACTAATTATATTAACCGAGTTACAAGTAGTGCGGACGTGCGCACTGCCACGGTACACCCCGCGCGCTGCAGTGCTGCCACCACTCGCGGTATTATTATCTCGAGTATTTCGGGAGATGACAGATACACACAAACAAAAGAAAGCTTCGTCTTTGTACACCACTACTTATCCATTGTTTAGTATGACATGATCATCATCTATTCTGCCTTTGATAGATTTTTTGCGCCCATATTGTCAGATGTGTGTACAACTAAAACATGTGTGATGGAATTCTTTTTACTGTCTTCATTGTTTAACTCTGTTTTTTATTGAGAACATTTGTATCCACTTCTTGCATCATCGTCTGTTTCGTTTATAATTGCTCGTCCTTTTTGAGTAATTAATTGAATTGAGTTTGGGATCACAATTTGTCATCGTTAGTTACTACAGATTTATTAATTCCCTTAAAATTCAAATACATGTCATGTTAAAATGTATTGTGCACAACATTTAGGTAGTCACACAGTGGTCAGCCTCATGTCCCGAGTGTCACGACCAGTCGGGACGGGTTGGGACATGTCGGCTCTCACCCGCGGCCCGCGGGGACACTCCACCACTCGCTTTAGAGTGGACACAGCCCACAGCCCACAGCCCACAGGTACCTATATAACATGCTTGTTGAAAAACTTTTGGAGCAGAAAAGGGACGAAATCGTATCTAAGTGGATATTGTAGTTGGAATTTATTTATAGCTCGGTTGCCATGTTTGAACAAGTTTATCGTACTCGTGAGATGTTTCCTTTGCAAATAAAACAGTTCACAGAAAGCTCTCGTTGATTGATTAAAACAGCTTTTGTAAGGGCTGCCGAGTTCCAAACAATCGTCCTCGCGTCCTCGCGTCCTCGCGTTTGAGAGAATACACTTTTCATTCTGATAAATTAAACAACTGTTACTGTCCTTTCAGTTTCGCCATATTGTCGGGATTGTTCCAAAAATATAATTGTTGGAACTCTCCAAAAATGTACGCAAAAAGTCGCCGAGTTGAAATATTTGTGCGCTGTTCATAATTGAAAAAGTGGGGCTTGGCTTGGGGGATGACGGCCGGCGACAGCCGGTCATTACAACAAATCTGAGTAAAAACGGGCCGGTACCGGCACGGCAACCGGCAGCCGACAGGAGACAAGACGATTTTTTTTATAATTTTGCTTCCTCAAATTTCTGCACTATTTTAACATTATAATAATATGATATTTTCGACACGGAGTAATATTTTCTGCAAATTATAAAAGTCATTTATCACATTTTGTACACTTAGTTAAGTATAATAATCTAGTAATTAGCACAAACTTACTGAGACTGGAAGGTCGCTGCTAATTAGGTATTATGTGGGTAATTTGTGCCATGTATGTATTAGCGATCAATTGTACGACGGTGTAAGTAATATAAAGTGTGTATAATAATGTGTCTGACTATAATTTAGACGTTTATTGAGCATCTTTGCTTTTTACGCGAACGGGTGAACACGAATGATTTAATTATTTTATTTATTTATTTATTTTCAGCCATGATCGTCCCACTGCAGGGCAAAGGCCTGATGATGAATGATTTAATGCAAAGCTAAAAATATCTACAATTCAAGAGCGATTTATCATTAAGGACGATCATTGCCCTAACCTCAGCTACGAGTACAAACTACATAATTTACCTATCTATCTATTTTTAGAAAACTTAAGGAAAAATGCGAAAATAAACGTCGACAAGATGCTGATCTTGTGTTACTTTGTTTTTCAAGCTATTATTAGGCAAATTTATTATAATATGTAAGTACCTACATTTTATGAAGTAGCCGGTGCTGTCTGATTTTTTTATGGGTTAAGCCGGTAAACGAGCGGACGGATCACATAGTGGTAAGTCGATGTCGCCCATGGACACCCGGAACACCAGAGGCGTTACAAGTGCGTTACCGGCCAATTGGGGATCAGGAATTCGAGGATTGTTGGGGATTCGGGGATCGGGGATTATAGACCTCATGTTTCATTTAATGTTCTATGCTTTTCATTAACCCGTTTTCCCCCGCATTCGGTACCCCGAAGGTGTAGACGGGAACATAAGTATTAAATATAAAATCCACTTTTTAATTGTTATAATTAATTGTAAGTCCACAGTAGGTGGTAACTAAGGAGTGTTCCACCGTAATACCTGGCACGATGTTTACTGAACATTATGAACATCGAATGGGGTTTGAAACCTCCTTGTTTAAACAATCACATTTGCAACCACTACCTAAAATACAATCTATAAACAACAATCAGCAAATATCAGACGAGTACAAATTATATAGAAGATATTGTTAATTAAGTACTTATATTAATGGATCGTTACATAAACACATTACCTCGCTTTGACCGCAGATACAAATCAGTGTAACAAAAGGTTGGATTTAATTATATTTGATTGTTCTTCCAATCAGCGCTGGATCTGTTTTGATGGACAAACAGCAGATATGATAAAGTGCAATGGCTGCCGTTATGATTGGCTGTCATTAGAACATCACGCTACTTAATGAAAGGACCTCGTGGATTTTACAGGTTCTATCTAGAAAGATAAGGTCGTTCGTCGATCATTAGCCATTAAGCTCTTATTGGATTGTGGAACTTCTCTACAAAAGGTAAGTATGCTTAATTCTCCAATCTCCACGCTTGACCAACGGGTTGGAGACGTGGAGATCGCAGTTAAAAAGGATCAATGAACACTGAAGCTTTATTAAATGTGTAGACATTAGTCGACTCTGCTACTATACCGTCATTACACATAATGAAAGACTAGCTTCTGCGAGCGGCTTCACCCTCAACAATCTACCTGTGTTCCAAATTTCTACAAACAAACAAACCTACACACATACTTTCATATTTATAACACTACTAGTAAGATCTTAGTGTGCTTGTGACGCAATATCTAGGACAGTAATCTAGTCTCAATCTAACTCGAGGAAAACTTGGCTAGACTAGCCTACGTGACGATGGTCACATGTGCGAGTGAAAGGCAACACGAAGAAACTGGTGTGTGAGAGCGAGATAGTGAATCAAAAGGGCATTGCTACCTGGCCTTGCGTTGGTCCTTATATTATTACTTATTTGTTTGTTATTGTGTCCCCTAACAGCGGGATACTAAACATTAATAAATAATATGTTCTTAAGTTGCTACTTATTCCACATTCATAATATTGGAATTGCAAATGACGAAATCTTTACCAAAATTTTGTCCTTGCGCTTGCTTATAAAATACCACGAGGTGTTACGCCGTGGTATTTACCTATAATAATATGTTTTACTTACGACGAACTGAAATAAACGCGTGTCAATATAAATAATACAATATTGTAATTTGTTTGTGTGTTGTTTACTTCTGGAACATAAAAGGTTTGATATTATGTTACGTAATGATTCGAACTCGTACTACTTGTAATGAAATCAATTTTAATCAAGTGTATTTGATGATTTATTTATTAACTTTATTTGTATAAGGTAAAATGTAAATTAAATACCCAGTACCTATAGTAGATATCTTTATTTTACGTAAAATTTTGTCATTATCTAGTGTTCAGCAATAAAGAGGAAATGGTTCGATTCTTGTCGTCAGCGAGTAAATAATACAATACAAACAAATTACTTTCAATTGTTTTATTACTTATCGGAATGTCAAGTACAACAGTAACATACAAAGTCATCAATGTATAATCTAGCTTACACATACAAAACAAAATATATAGATACATACAACCAACTAGCTCATACATTTGTACAATCATCATCAGATTAGTATCAAGACAATAAGGTTCATTTTTGTATCTTTCTACAGGCACTAATGTACTCTGACAGTATGAACCTCCGCATTTCTAAAACATATACGTGGAACTAATATATGTAAGAATACTTTCAAAATGTATCAAAACTAGTTCGTCACATTAGGAAGACGCCTGTGGCTCCTGCCACTGCTGGCCAGTACGTACCTGGCCCGCTAGTCCACCTCTCCGTTGGGAGTGACCCGGTCGATGTGCACCGTGATCTTGCTGCTCTCCTGCTTCACTCCAACTCCGACGATCATGTCTATGATCCTCGGCTGCACCCTGAGCGCGTCCTGTGCAGGCAGACCCCTCAGCAGCGAGGCCACATACTTGCCAAAGTTGTCGAACGTGTCATCCACCCTGGGAGCCACGGCGCGCACATCGCTCTGCAGGAACACTTGGTGCTGGCTCATGTTCTCGCTCGGTGCACTCGATGACATTCGCCTTCGCTTTGGCTGCTGGTATTGGGAGTCATTCGACTGGTCCTCGTTCTCACTGTGACCCTCGGACTGGTAGCTTGCGCCCGCCGTGGGCTCGTGCTGCTGACTCCATTCATCGGTCTCGTCAATCTCGAAATATTCTGTCTTGACATCAGGATACACTTCTACCGACATGTTGCTGCTTTCTGCCTGCTGACAAAAATACAAACAATGAATATGATGAACAACAAGAGTAACTAAACTATACATTGACATATTACCGTGATATACTTACTGGATTAGGCAGCAGTTTGGATGTCTGCACGTGTGGCCGCAGGAACGAGTCCATGAGGGAGAACCACTGAACCTTCGGCCGGTACAAGTCAGGAGAGTCCGGCCCCAGCGTGTCAATACTTTCTTTTATTTTCTTCAATTCTTGAGAATAAGAATTGCGAAGATTTTTTATTTTTATTAACACGTGTTGTCCTTCAAAGTTCTTTATATTGAGAATCTTCGCTATTTTCTGTGCGGCCCGCACCCGTTTTTCTTTATTGGGGTAGTCGTCCATCGAAGAGTTCCACAAGCAGTCCTCTTTCTTGTACTCGTGCAGAAGCTGCATGGTTTTCTTTTCGTTGATGCGGAGTATGGAGTTCCGCGTTAATTCCTGAGCGGTTATCCCACGCATGATGGCGGCTCGGCGTAGCGGTTCGGCAGCGTCAACTCGTGATAAGGCGGTGCGGGGAGGTGGGGGGATCGTATTGCGCGCGCGCGTGGATCACCCGTCTGCTCGCTCGGCGTGCCCACGCCTGACTGACGGCGGCGTGGCGCGGCCGCCACGTCCCCGCGCGCGCTCTCTGCAACGCGCCGTGGATTTATACCGTGTTTGCTTTGTCTCGCGCTTTTGTTTTGCGGGGTGGGCATTATTTTAGGCATTCCAGGTAACTAGCAGGTAGCCGTAGACTGTAACGTTATCTGCTTACAATTTAATACCACGTACAATGCGCATGTATTCACATCTTTATGTAAGTACAGTAGTAACAGTAGATATTCACTATCAACTGAAATATGTTTAAGTTAGCAACAGTAACCCACTTTCCTCACATTCGCGTGCCTGTGTCGAACAGCTGACGATTTCATTTTTTCTCTGTAGATCAGCTGTAGCGAGTGTTTCGTAAGGGAACCCATAATGGCGACCGTAATTCCCGGAATTCGGCGCCGGCCTTCCGCTGGGGATCTCCTACACTCACACAAACAAACACCATGTATATACCATACAAACCCTGTTCTACTACAGAAATGTACAATTACAGATTTATGTTTAACCTGACGACGATACTATCACAATTTCAAATAGAATTTGTTGTAATTTCAAGTGGAGCAGCCCTCAGAGAATTAATTTTCATGATGTTTTAATAAAGTATACGTTTCAATGGAACAAGGGCTCTCGTGCCAACAACCGGTTCGTTTTATACAAATAAATGTATACATATTTCCATTTAGTTACATATTTATGAAAAAACGTAATGATTTCTAGTCGTGCTGGCTATGTTTTTATATTAAATCCTCTGCCTTTCCCTCTGTGAAACTACAAGCGTGATAGTATAAAGTTATCGAGTTATTATTACACCAAACTCCAAGGACCCAACTAACAGCTGATTCATTTTATTTCTTTACCGTGAAGGGAATATTTAAATGTTCACGTCCGGTGTTCGAACCCGCACCCGCGCCCCTTGCAGCCCGCACCTTGCTGTTTTGGGTAATTTTTTGCCCAGACATGTGTTTTCTAAATAACGTGCCAACACGAGTCGAGAACCTTGGACCTTATTAGCCTTGAGGAGTTTAGATCGTTATTATTTTATGGTTATACTAGTAAATCTCTATTATGGGTCGGCTATGTAACACACCTTGCCTACCTTCGAAGGAACAGAAGTCGTAATGATAAAAAACATGTTCAGATATTCTTGTTAATCCAAGTGGGTACTTTCTATAACCAAAAATACATTATTTCGACTGTTCAATACAATAAAATAATATTAATTAATTTTTCTAATATACAAATTGTATAAATCGGTCTGTAATTAAATTCAATCTTTAGCAGTAAGTAGGCAGTGAGATTATATATCAATTCGAGTCAAAATCATTTATTTCAATTATACCAAGAAGTCACTTTTGAATGTCTTTTGTGATGTTTCTACCCTTCCCATTAACAATTCATATACTTACCAACATACATACATAACATCACGCCTGTCTCCACGGGGCTATGCAGAGACTATGGGACGCCAACAGCTACGATTCCTAATACCACAGTCATCAGTCTTTACCAGCATACATTTAATTACAATACCTGTTTGTACTGAAAATAACAAAAGATACAAGCTCTGTTCATGCCCTGATAGTATAATACCCTGATATCTGTTGTTTGACCGATTACAATCCGGTTCACACCGGTTCTGATAACAACGCGCCTTATCGGTAGCTTCAGAAGTGTTCTAAATGTTCTTTTATATCATTTTGATTGTGTTTTTCATTAATTTTATATTTTTAAACCGCGAAATGATTTGGTTAATCTCTGTCTGTACCTACACAACTTCGATTAATAACTACAATTATAATTTATTTTAGACTAAACTGTCTCACTGGCCCAGTGGTCGCAAGTGCGACTGCCGGGCAAGGGGTCTCGGGTTCGATTCCCGAGTCGGGCAAAGTATTACTGGGTTTGTAAAAACCTCAGTAGTAGCACGGAGTCTGGAAATGTGCCCGGTATATGGCAATAGGCTCACCCCGTATTATATGGGACTCATAACATAAATAGTGAAAAGTGGGTGTTACATTGTACAGTGACATTAAGTGTCGTAATGTGCATCTCTGCCTACCCCTTCGGGGATAAAAGGCGTGATGTTATGTTTAGACTAATCTTTTACATATCACATAATATTAATTACATATGTATGAATGCAAAATTCCAAGAAGATTGGATTGGTTTAGTCAATAAAACATAAAGTGGGGAGAAACGAACTAAATTTCGTATTTAAATATTCATAAAATATTAAGAAGAAATACTTGAACTGGAACTTACCAAATAGCTTATTATTAATAATTTAAAATTATTTTTCATATTAATTCGTCTTTTCTTTTATCTATTTTTGCATTTTTATTCGCTGTTTTAGTTTTAGTTAATATTCATTGCGATAGTTGGATTTAAAAAAAAACACCCTATCTCGACTTTTATATCTATTCTTAATAATACTTATATTATATTTAATTTTAATCTTATATTATAGGTACTTATCATCACTACTTAGTATAAAACAAAGTCGCTATCCGCCGTCTGTCTGTCCCTATGTATACTTAGATCTTTAAAACTACGTAACGGATTTTGATGCGTTTTTTTAATAGATAGAGTGATTCTTAAGGAATGTTTATATGTATAATACATGCATATTGCACCCGTGCGAAGCCGGGGCGCATCGCTTATATTATAGAGGTATAAAGCTAAAGAGTTTATTTGTTTGTTTGTACGTGCTAATCTTCAGAACTGCTAGATTAGTTATTTCTTATTTCTGTGTTGAATAGTCCATTTACCGAGGAAGGTTATGTATAGGGTATAAAATATCACACTACGATCACAGATTTCTCGTGTTACAATACGCAGGCAAAAACGTATTAAAATAGTTATTAATAAAAAAAGTAATAAAGTTTATATAACTAATGAGCAAATAATATAACCGATATTGTATAAACAAGTAGCGTTAGATATAACCGGATGTAACCGGTTATATTTTGTTTGTTGTCAACTTACTAGGACTAGGTGATAATTAATTGCTATTAGTTACTGGCGTTTATCTAGTCAAATGTAGGCCTTTTGTACCTACTTAAATAATAATAATAGATGATATTACGAATGTATCATTGGCCGAGTGGTCGCAAGTGCCACTGCTGCAAAGTATTTAAAAATCTAGGTTTTTAAACATCTTAGTAGTAGCACGGAGTCTGGAAATGTGCCCGGTATTATGACAATAGGCTCACCCCGTTTTACATGGGACTCGTAACATTAATAGTGAAAAGTGGGTGTTACATTGTACAGTTACATTAAGTGCCGTAACCGTAATGTGACTGCCTCGTTGGCCGAGTGGTCGCAAGTGCCACTGCCGGGCAAGGGATCTCGGGTTCGATTCTCGGGTAGGGGAGGGCAAAGTATTACTGGGTTTTTAAAAATCGCAGCAGTAGCACGGAGTCTGAAACTAGTAGAGCTTTTCTCAGTATTTTCACGTGAGTAACCCGCGATTATTAGTAGGTAAATCCAGTAATACTTCCGAACCCGAGACCCCTTGCTCGGCAGTCGTTCTTGTGACGACTCGGCCAATGAGGCAATAAATAGCTTCATAACTATAATAAATCACACTTCTATAAACTTGTCTCGTGCGGGGATGGAACCCATGCCACGTTGCACAACAGCTGATCGGCCAACCACTGCGCTAACCGTTCAGTGAAACGAATGAATATGGGAACCATTACGGTTTTTTGTAGTTTTGCGAATAAGCAGCCGGTTTCCTGAAAGCAGGTAAGGTCTGTAGTGACGTCACAGTAGATGCGACATCTGGGCATCGGCAGGAGTGTAACGGGAACGGATGTTGAAACTATGCCACTTTCTCATATCCTTGTATTTTTAATGTTAATTGGTAAATATACTGGCGTACTTTATAAGGTAAAGGGAGATTTGAAAACGTTTACTTGACGATTTATTAGAAAAACTAGCTTCTGCCAGCGGCTTCGTCCGCGATCCCAGGGGGAAAATGCCAATGTATTACATCACACTATACTCTACCTCTGTTCCGAATTTTTATTATAAAATGGAGTAACTTCTCCCGTTTTCCCAATATTTCCCTTCACTGCTCTGCTCCTATTGATCGTAGCGTAATGAAAAGTATACTATAACCTGTCCAAGAGTATGAAGAATAATTGTGCCAAATTTCGTTAAAATCCGTCGAGTAGTTTTTGTTTCCATAACGAACATACAGACAGACAGACAGACAGACAAAAATTTTACTGATTGCATTTTTGGCATCAGTAGCGATCCCTAACCACCCCTTGATAGTTATTTTTTAAATATATTTTATGTACAGAATTGACCTCCCTACAGATTTATTATAAGTATAGATGAGTTCTCAATACATTTTTGGAAGCATACTAATAAAAGTGTTAGTAAACCTATTACTACGACAAAAGAAAATCTCAGTGTGGGGCAACTTTTAATAACTATAATTTTTTTACACAAATCGTAACTGAATATCTGGTAACATAGAATCTAAAAGCATTAATGTTATCTAACACAAAGATATGCTGTCAGTCCATCCACTGCATTAAATAAATAGTCTCCTGGTTCTTTATGTTATAGGTTCGATTTAACCAAGTAAATTTAAATTGTTTATTATCTTAAGAACAATATCTGTCTAACATTGAGGCAGTCCCAGTAAGTTATTATACAATACTTGTGTTGGGCCTGACTCGATCCTTTCTTTATTTATTTAACACTCTTAAGAATAATAACTTCCAGATCTGTAAATGACCTAATTAAAGGAAAACAACAAAAACTAATGTAAGCATCTTTGCAAAATTTATATAAAATCTATTGTAAACAAAAGATTAAGATCAAGTACTTACATATTGTTTTCAATGAGACCCAGCAGTATTTAGATGATAAAATTATCATGCAGCCTACGTAAATAGATAAGCTTTGTATGTATTCTAGTATTTAGATGAGAAGACAAAAGAATAACAGTAGTGTTGTCTATGGTTATCTAGGCAGCACGGCTTATATTTATTATCTGTATTTCACGAATGTAGG